CTAAATCAGGACCGATTTTCACGAAACTTTGCACACATCATTCTAGACTCAATTCAGTACGCTGTGCCAAATTTCGTGCAAATCGAATGATATATAGGGACATTGTTGCACCATTTACATAAAATCGGACGAAAATATATATGGGAGCTATATCTAACTCTGGACCGATTTTCACAAAACTTGACACACATCATTCTAGACTCAATTCAGTACGATGTGCTAAATTTCGTGCAAATCGAATGATGTATAGGGACATTGGTGCACCAATTACATAAAATCGGACAAAAATATATGTGGGAGCTATATCTAAATCTAAACCGATTTTCCCGAAACTTAGTACTCATCATTCTAGACTCAATTCAGTACGCTATGCCGAAATTCGTGCAAATCGAATGATATATCGGGACATTGGTGCACCATTTACATTAAATGGGACGAAAATATATATGAGAGCTATATCTATATCTACTCATCATTCTAGACTCAATTCAGTACGCTGTCCCAAATTTCGTGTAAATCGAAAGATATATAGATACATTGGTGCACCATTTACATTAAATCGGACGAAAATATATTTGGGAGCTATATCTAACTCTGGACCGATTTTCACAAAACTTAACACACATCACTTTGGACCTAATTCAGTACGCTGTGCCAAATTTCGTGCATAAATATATAGAAAGATTTATAGGGTATATTGAGAGCATATATAAATCCATTTACGTAAAATCGGACGAAAATATATAAATCTGAACCGGGAGCTATATCTAAATCTGGGAGCTATATCTAACTCTGGGTCGATTTTCTCCACTTTCAATATGGTTCGTCCTTGGGCCAAACAAATAAGCTGTACCAAATATCATCCAAATCAGATTATAAATGCGACCTGTACTTTGTTTGCAATTTAACACCAACAGACGGGCGGACGGACGGACATGCATAAATCGCCTTAGAAATCGACTATGCATAGAATATTCTCAAAAAGAACCATGTGTCTATCTCGTTTCCTTTTGCCTGTTACAAACATATACACAAAGACATGATACCCTGTACCACAGTGCGGTGAAGAGTATAAAAATTGACTGCTTGAAAAAATATTGTTTAAAAATTCACGCTTGTTTGGCTGCTGGAAAAATGTTCTTAAAAAGTCCACGCCTGTTTGGTTGCTTGAAAAAAAATGTTCTTAAAAAGTCCAAATATTCTTTAAAAATCAAAGCCAACATTTGCCTTTGGGTCGTCAAAAATAATTTTATGATTTTTGTTTTTTATTTTTTCATTTGAAACCACTGTCATTGTCATCTGGATCCGGTTGCATTTGTTATTTACATATCCCCCGTTAAAGTCCGCCAGCATCATCGATCGATCGTTTACCATTCAGATGACAAGGCATGCGTGCATCCATTGATGCATGCATGCATGAACGGTAATGTGTGTGTGCTCGCGTCAATATGTACATAATTTTGAATAGATAGACCATAAATAAGCCAGAAGTGAGAACGTGTGAAATATGATGTTTGAATGTTGATGGGCAGCAAATGTTATAAATTATGCGTGTGTGTGTTGGATGCTGGTTAGTGATCTGGCGCAGGCTTGTAACTTACAACTTTAATGGGTTTTGGCAAACTGTCATCACCTAGAAATACGCAATGGACATTCCAAAAACAAAAATATATATAGAAAAAAAAACTCAAACAAATTTCCGCATACATTTTAAAAATGAATGTCGACGGCATCATGACATTAAACTTTTCTGATTCTCTACAAAATCCACTTTTTTTTTTTGGTAGACAACATACTTTGACACTAATGACGCTGAGCGTTGTCAAAATATGTGTAGATCATTCATATCAGCTGTGAGATCAATCACAAGTGATTTGTTGTTCAAATGTTGGAATAGCTTGTTTGACGAATTGGGTTTTTTTCTGTGATCATTGCTCAAGAGAGCAATGCCTAACATTTCAATCTCTTCTGCTTGTCTAGATCGAGTGCCGATGATGGTGGCGATGTGATTGAATGCCAGAATAATAAATTTTGAAATGTTGTTCTTGTCTACATTTCAGGAACTTAACTTAAACAAGTGCGGAATATAATATCTTTATTAAATTTGTAGCTGTTAGTGTCTTAATTATTAGGTGTTTGAAAATTATTAAAAATAAAGTTATCAACGAAAGGAAACACAAATTAATGCAAACATTTAAATGTATATTAACAAAATATTTTAATTTTTTGGAAGCTAAAATAAAATATATTTCCTATAGGCAACTAGAAAAGGGAAAAATGGAAATATATGAAAACCAGTGAGCGGACCAGTGTAGTCGGACGGGGCCGACCATACGATACCCTACACAACTAGCACGGAATTCAAACTTTCTGCGGATGTTTATTCCGAGCCTGGGCAATATTTCGTGATATTTGCTCCCTCTAGACCGATTTGAGGTCAACAGCACCTTTTCCTTACACTGACATATTTTCCGAATATTATTATTCATATTCAGTACAGCCCTTCTAATTAATTGTCCAGTTTCCCTTCGCCGTGGGTTGTGTTGTGATGTTCGGCTTTCAATTGTGGATATATAGATCGACTCGAAAAAACACAAAAAATTATGTTTATTCCGTGCATCCACTTCAAAAAACATCCCATAATTATAATCTGATCATCACCGAATGTTGTAGGCGTCGTCCATGGCCCTAACTGGAACCTTATGGAAAATTTCAAAGAGATCAGCGCTATATTTCTGCACTCTGGCGTGGTATGGGGTTACTAAATAATATCTGAGTACAGGTACTTACCTGTAAATATTTAAATCCCACATACGACAATATATTTGGTATCAATTTAAAGGTCAACCACTCCTCTTGGATATACTGCCAACTTCTCAGGTATATGTCCTTCAGGGTAAATCTATACGCAATGGAACACACATTTTGTAATTTTTCACACAAAAATCAGGGTCCATTTGACCCGATAAATATTCACCGATCTATATCAAAACAGACATGCTTATTCTTTTGTGATGTTCGGACCATAATTGCGACCTCTAGAGCGAGCAGAAAAACAGACAAAAATTAAGTGTTTGGTCCATTTCATCCCCCCAAATATTAACCGATCTTTATCAAAAACTTTGGGCAGAACCCATACTACATGCAAATTTTCGTGAAGATTGGTCCATAATTGTGGCCTGTATTGTGTTTAAAAATTATAATGGACGGACGGACGGACACACATGTCTAGATCGACTCAGCCCCAAACTTCAGGGACTGTACAAAGCTATAATACCCTGACAACACAGTTTTGTAGGGTATAATGAAATGAAAGGAAAAATTTTATATTTGTATAGGCGCGGATTTATAAAAAAAATAATTTTTAAGCAGCACAATAGGCGTGGATTTTTAAAAAAAAATAATTTTTAAGCGCCCAATAGGCGTGGATTTATTTTTTTAGCATCCCAATAGGCGTGGATTTCTAAGAAAATCATTTTTAAGCAACCCAATAGGCGTGGATTTATAAAAAAATATTTTTTAAGCCGCCCAATAGGCGTGGATTTGTAAAAATATTTTTTAAGTCGCCCAATAGGCGTGGATTTACAAAAAAAATATTTTTTAAGCCGCCCAATAGGCGTAAATTTATAAAAAAAATTTAAGCCGCCCAATAGGCGTGAATTTATAAAAAAATTTAAGCCGCCCAATATGCGTGGATTTATAAAAAAAATATTTTTTTAAGCCCAATAGGCGTGGATTTATAAAAAAAGTAATTTTTTAAGCCGCCCAATAGGCGTGGATTTATAAACAAATTATTTTTAGGATTTATAAAAAAAAATTTAGCAGTCCAATAGGCGTGGATTTATAAAAAAATTATTTTTTGGATTTATAAAAAAATAATTTTTTAGCAGCCCAATAGGCGTGGATTTATAAAAACAAATATTTTTTGGATTTATAAAAAAAAATTTTTTAGCAGCCCAATAGGCGTGGATTTATCAAAAAAATTATTTTTTGGATTTATAAAAAAATAATTTTTTAGCAGCCCAATAGGCGTGGATTTATAAAAAAAATTATAAGAAAATATTTTTTTTCTTCTTTTCAATGAGGCATTCTCAGGTCTTCAATAAAATAAGTATATTCTGATTTAAGAATAGATACTTTGGTCTTCCCTATAATACCACTACTTCTCCTGGGACTTCATTGTCCCATCCGGTCATTGTCACATCCAGTCATAATTCCACTTAAAAATTAACAACAAAATTTATTTAATTTCTTAATGGAGGAGAGAGTGAGAGAAATTTTACAAAAAAATCTCCCAGCTTCTTAAGACATTCCATACTTGCTCCCAACAAAATTATCTTCTACAATATCTAGGTGTTCATAACTCGATTATGCATAATTATCTATGTATGCGTGAGTTTTAATGTTTAAAACATTAGAACACCCTGACAGTATACCTTGCGAATACATCATACTGGGGTCTGGCAGACGGCTGGTTTGATAGCATCTGCCTGCCATCAGTGATATAGAATTGCAAACAACATCCAACGTTTCTGGTCTCCCTCCTATTTTCGAGTAGCGTTGCTGGTAGTGGTGTGAGTGTGAGTGAGGAGATTTTTTTGTTTCAGAGGCTATAAACAGAATTTTTACGATTCTAATGTTTTAAAATGTTTACCTAATGCTTTGAGCCCAGTCAATAACGAATCGGCTGTCGTAAGGTGTGTTTCACAAGTGGCCAGCTTCCAAAAAGGAATAACGAGAAATTAAAAAAAAAAACAACAACAACAAGAAAATCAAATAAAGAATTTCGAAAACATATATATAAATGCAATAAATAAACAAATAAAAGTGAGGCAGATTTGTGGAACCTAGACTACAGTAGAAAAAATAAACAACAAGTGCTAAATATTACAATTTATTGTTACCACTCGGAAATAAAAATTGCAAAAAATAAGAAGAAGAAGAATAGAAAATCAATTACAATTGTTTTAATTTCAATTCGTCATATATAAGCCGTGATAATGACAAGGCTTATTAAAATCACTGCCAGTTTTGTAAGTGTAACAAACAATAAAACCAACAACCAATAAAAAAATCAATCCTCTAATTATCCTCGTTTCATTTCAAGTTCATAGTGGCAGTGTGTTGCAGCAATTTACTGCTCCCTCAATGTTCCGCTCAGTCGACAACGGTGCGTCCTTATAAATTTGGTTTTACAATTGATGAACAGCAACATCGGCGAGAATCAAGAGGTATGTCTGAAGGCCATTTCTGCCATATTCACAATTAAATGATTTTGCAAATCTGTTACCGGTCTCAAAACAAAAAAAAAAAAAAAATATTGTGACACAACGCCACCACCAGCATCATCGGAACATCACCGTCATCTTCATCAGCGGCATTGTAATGGCCGTATTGGGCAATAGGTTAAAGTGAATCGCCAACGTTTAGTTTAGTGTCATCATTATCCAACAAAAACAAGCAAGACAGTCACGGGCCAACAATACCCGGGTTAGTTATGATCAAGTCATGCTGCTGGCGGCTTGTTGGCCTGACAGATATTTCCATAATTATTATCAGGCTGAGTAGTTGACAATAAATGTTGCACAAAAATATTTTGTCAAGTTGCTGGTTGAAATGTTTATTGTAACGCCGCCAATTTGTTTGCAGAATTATACACAGTGGGCGATAATTGTAAAAAAATAGGTTTTAATACATTCAGAGGGAGTATGAGTGATATTGTTAGGTATACGCACCAATACAGGCTTAATATTATTATGTATACGCAACATGACCCATGACTCAAAATGATACTTTTTAAACATTTTCAAAAATATTTTCCCAAATTCACATGCTTCATAAAAAATATTTTTAGAAGCTTAATAACGTATTTAATAGAAGATCTGAGAAGGTATATATATATATATACATAATGCCGTATAAAAAATGAATAGTAGAACTTCTTTTATAGAAGTCAAATGAAACTACTCTTCAATAAATGTCCAGGGAAGATATCCTCCATAGGAGATTAGAGGTGAAATTTTCAAATTGAAGAACGCAGAAGAAGACCTACTTCTGTAAATATATTAGGTAGTTAGTTTTCCATTTACAAAAGACTAAACCAGTAAGGAAAGTAGTAAAGTCGGACTGGGCCGACTATATGATACCCTTCATCACATTGGGTATATTGTAAGGATACACAATTGCATGTCAATTTTCCCTCCAAGGAACATACTCATGCCTTGATCCCGGCTATTCGGTACGTGGCACTGTAAAAAATTTAATATCAATCAGACCCCCCGTTCGAAATACATATGGAAGCTAGTTACATCTGTACCAATTTCAACAAAACGCAATAATGTCATTCAAGTATCAATCGAAATCTGAATCGATTTTCCCGAAACGTACCACACATGTAAATCTGAACCGATTTCCACGAACCTTAGCACACATCATTATAGATTAAATTTCGTGCAAATCGGAGGATATATAGGGACTTTGGTGTAACATTTACCTTAAGTCGGACGAAAATATATATGGTAGCTATATCTAAATCTGAACCGATTTTCACAAAACTTTACACACCTCATTGTAGGCTGAATTCAGTACGTTGTGCCAAATTTTGTGCAAATCAAAAGATATTTAGGGACTTTGGTACACCATTCGGACGAAAATATATATGGGAGCTATATCTAAATCTAAACCGATGTTCACAAAACTTGGCACACGTCATTCTAGGCTTAATTCAGAACGTTGTGCCAAATTTCGTGCAAATCGAATGATATATAGGGACCTTGGTGCACCATTTATATTAAATCGGACGAAAATATATATGGGAGCTATATCTTAATCGGAACCGATTTTCACGAAACTTGGCACACATCATTCTAGGGTGAATTCAGTACGTTGTGCCAAATTTCGTACAAATCGAAAGATATATACGGTGTTAAATACACCGTTTACATTAAATCGAACGATATTATATATGGGAGCTATATCTAAATCTGAACCGATTATCACGAAACTTGGCACACGTCATTCTAGGCTTAATTCAGTACGTTGTGCCAAATTTCGTGCAAATCGAAAGATATATAGGGACTTTGGTGCACCATTTACATTAAATCGGACGAACATATATATGGGAGCTATATCTAAATCTGAACCGATTTTCACGAAACTTGGCAAATTTTACACAATCCGGAGTAGGCTTAATTTGTACAATTGAACACAACATACGGAAAGATGGACGGACGGTCATGCATAAATCTACTCAAAAAGTGATCTGTGCATATTCTCAAAAGGAAGTATGGGTCTATCTCTTTTTCTTTTGCCTGGTACAAACATATGCACAAAGACATAATACCCTGTATCACAGTGAGGTGAAGGGTATACAAATCGAAGCCTATTTCTGGTCTTAAAAAATATTCTTTAAAAATCCACGCCTATTTTTGGTCTAAAATCTATGGTTGTAATAATTAAAAAAAAACATTTTACCTTTTCCACCCACTGTTCCTATCGTATGTATCTCCAACTAAATTCGCATCATTTTGCAATTATGATTTCGAACATGATGCCAAGTATTCGAATATTTATATTCTTGATGCTTGAACATATCATAGCAACCAATGATGGTCATAAAACTTCCCCCACTAAAAATTGTTGCGAAACAAAATACTAAACGTCATAAACCACGCTCATCAATGAAACTTCAACACTGTTATTGGTGTTGTTGTAAATCATTGATATTAACAAAAAAAAATTGCTTTGTAAACTTAGAACAAAGTCTGCAATATATTGCCAGCGCCAAAACACTCGTCTGTCGGTGACAGTCCAACAGACTGGCCATCTCTATTCTGAATAGAAAAAACAAAAACAACAACAGCAAATTCTAATGAGATTTTGTTTTTATTAATTTATCTAGCTGTTGTCCGAAAACACCTGTACTGACATTACCATTAAATGTCAATTTCAAATCTATGCAGTTATGTATGTAAATATGTAGTTAGAATCTATGATCGGAAATGTCACTAATTCATGTTTTAGCAATTACGGCGTATTAATTATGTAATCATTTTAATTTGATTGCTGGTGGCCAGCACCATAAATGGACATAAATCTTAATTGAAATTAAAAGTGTATTATTTTTAGAAGTGATAATATGGATTTTTTAAGTCGATACAAATTTAAAATTGCATACTATGCACAAGTTTTTTATTTACTGGGTTCTTTATTTGTCGCATTAATTAACATGATTTTTTATCAATTTTTTTTCAAAACCATGATTTGTCGTTATCTATACTAAATAGTGCCGGTAAAATCAAGACATAATCTAATTAGCAACCTAACACTTAGTAATTTTATGGATGTGTCAGATTTTCAATTAACTGTCAAAAAAATAATTTTTTTTAAATCTATGCTTGATTACTCATTGAAAAAAACATTATTCACAATATTCCAGGAGTGGCTTCTTAAAAAAAAAATTTAGTTAAAAGTCATCACCGGTTTGGTTTCTGAAAAATATATTTTTTAAAATAGTGTTTGAAAAAATATTCTTTTGACATCTACAAATCTTTGGTTGCTGGAAGAAATACTCTTTTAAAAATCCACGCCTATTAGGCTCGTTTAAAAAATATCCTTTAAAAATCCTCGCCCATTTTGCTCCTTTAAAACATATTTTTAAAAAATTGACACCTGTTTGGTTTCTTGAAACCCCATTCTTTGAAAATCCACTCATTTTCGGTTCTTGAAAAATGTATTTTCTAAAAATCTCACCTTGCCTATAATATTGTCTAAATAATCATCGACTACTTTTAGTCTTTTTTAAAAAAAATTGCTATAAAATCTAGATTCGTGTATGCTTCTTCAAAAATTTACCCTTAAGACCAGTGCCTGTTCTACTCCTTAAAACATATTTGTAAAATTTTAAAAAATATCCTTTAAAACCAGTGATACCCTACACAACTACCAAAGTTTCTGTTCTATATTCTGACGGGGCCGACCATATGATACCCTACACAACTACCAAACTTTCTGTTCTATATTCTGAGCCAGGGCAATATTTCGTGATATTTGCATTATTTTTACCGAAATGTATTTTCTAAAAATCTCACAATTTTTTTTCTGCCTATAATATTGTCTATCATCATAAACAGTCGCTCTACTATTTGGTCAGATGCCATTTTGTAAAAAAAATTGCTATAAAATTGCCTCGAGAGGCTTCTTCAAAAATTTTTCCCTTAATTGCACCCCTGAATTAAATCTCCTTAAAAAATATTCGTCCAAAATAATCGGAAATATATGTACAATTTCAAAACCACGAGCGCGACATTTCCGTCCTCTAATGGAGTAATAGTAATGCTATGCATAGAGTCACATTTACCTAATTACGTATAACTCCCACATCAGAGTACATACAGCCATATAATTGGTATCAATTTGAAGGCCAACAACTCTACTTGAATATACTACTAACTTCTCGCCTATATGTTCTTCAGGAGCAAGTATATATATCATAGAATACAAATTTTGTACATTTTTTCACAAAAAAGTCAGGATCCATTTGAACCGCCAAATATTAAACAATCTTTTTCAAAACTTGCATGCTTGTTCTTTAGCCTGATCCCTTTCTCCATGTACAATTTCGCGATGTCCGGGCCATAATTGCGGCCTCTGAAGCGACCAGAAAATCAGACAAAAATACAGTTTTTGGTCCATTTCATCCCCTAAATATTAACCGACCTTTACCAAAACCAAATTTCGTGAAGATTGGTCCATAACTGTGGCCTGTATCATGTTTACAAAATATAATGGACAGACATACATGTCTAGATCGACTCAGCTAGTCGAGATATGACGATCAGTATACTTAAAGGTGGGTCTAGGACCAATATTTCGTGGTGTTACAAACTCTTGGGGCTGCACAAAGCTATAATACCCTGACAACATAGTTGTGTAGGGTATAAAAAATCACAACAACGTACCCACCATTATGCGACGCGTTTCGCCGTTGGTTAAGCGGCCCATCAGCCATATTGGGCTATGTGGCTTTACAAAGGTCGTACGTTGATAACTTGTATTTATTCCGCCCTGATGCGAAACTTGCATATGCGAATTAAATCCAAATTTGTCTAAGTTCGACATTTGTCTTCATTCTAGGAACAGTCCTTTTCAAAGCAGATTTTTTGTTGTATCGATGGATAATTAATCTCCTGGCTTTCCTTTTCATTGCAAAACTTAGATCATCAAGCTCGAC